ACCCCCCATGGTGTGATGTGGTTCAATCTGCAACTACATGTGTTAATAGAGGAAGCAGTAGTGACGTAGGGGCCGGCAGAAGGGACAAGAGCGCACAACGCGGGGACCAGGCGTCCGACATTCACGAAGTGCCGGTTATAAAGATTCCTTAGGAGAGCGAAGTGAGGAATCGCTGCTTGTTGGTGAGGTTATTATTGAGTAACTTTTTTCACAATTCTTTTTTTTTTTTCTTTAACAAGTGAGAGAGTTGCTTTAAAAGAATTAATAGGAACACTTTGCTGCTGAGAACAAGTAGGAGGCAACATAAAAAACTCCCAAAATATTCATATTACATTATTACTTCATTAATGGCATCAGGTATGTCTGGCATGTCCTTAGTCGTAGTATCAGCTACACTTTGCTGAGAATTAATATCTAAGCTGGTCATCCTCAATACGATCTTCAAGATCCAAGGCGCTCTAGAGATTAAACATTAACCTGCGTCAATCTCATTGCAGAACCTCAGGGCTGCATCTGGGAGATGACAGCAAAAACTTCCAGCGTGTACTTTTCCTGCAGCTCTAACCCCCCTCCAGCACTACCCGTCAGTCTCCTCAAATAGCGACTTTCCTAAAATCACAACATGCACATTCACAAAGGTACACAAAAATGGCAAGGATGGATCAATCATTAAAAAGGAGAACTATGGGGTTAAGGCTTTTCCCCATAGTTCTCCTTAGGGTAACGGGAGGACACAAACTCGCATCCTCCCGTCACCCTAGGCTCAGTATACCGCGAGCTGACAATTATGTCTGGATCCGCCCAGCTGCGTGACTGACAGCTGGCTCTGCCTATCAGGAATCAGGGCAGTGGTGGACAAATTACTTTTCAGTGCTGTTACCCTACCACCAATCTAAAAAACACATCTTTTGTGATCACACTCTTTCCCCCCAACCCCCCCGTCACATTCTCACCTATGCAAGAATGACCTGAAGCCTCCTCCTGGTATCTTCATGTCACATATCCCAGAAGATGTCGGCTTCAAAACAGCCACTTGATGAGGGTGGATCTAGCACGCATCAGGGCTCCAGCTGCCTCAACGAGGAAGAGAGAGCTGGCTGCCAATGATGTTATAGAGAAAAAGATGGCAGCGTGGGACTCGGTGTGTGGTGGCAAAGCTATAGTTTACAGCAGGACAATGCTAAATAAGCGAGTCTGTTAATTCCATTGAAATCATATGGAGACAAGCTACACAGAAGTCATAGGAGATGGACTGTGCAGATGCAATTAGCAGAAGACGATGTAGGCTGCAGGACGTAGGGCTCGTCAGAACTTGATAAGCATTCAACTGTGCACAGGGCAGGGAGGGAGCGTTGATGTCGGAAGGATAAGTGTACTTTGTTTTAACGTGCACCTATTCTTGGGAGTCCAGACATACCAAAATTGGAAGGAAAATCACAAGTCAATGGAGGGGCCGTTTGCTTGCAAAAGTACCTTCTGTACCATTTTTCAACGGATGCTAACAGAAGGGCAGCGAAAAATGAATGGGTGTGAATGGGGCTAGTTCACACCGGATCCGTTGTGTTACATTGCTCTGAAAAACAGTTGTGCATGTTCTTTGTTTTTTAGCGAAATGTAACGCACTGGAACAGAGCGGTGCGAACGAGCCCCATTCACACCCATTCATTTTCAGTGCCCGTCCATTAGCATGCGTTGAAAAATGTATCACAACTCATGTGAATGGGCCCTCAAGGCAGTTCATTTGTTTAGAATGGAATGTCAGTATAAAGCAAAGGAAGAACAGATATGCCTACAAGCATTTGTTTTTTTTAACATAGTGCACCACAAAGCTTGGCATGAGCGCTGCGGTGTACTGTAGGCTACTGTATATGGTTTAGGATGCCAGATTAAATCATCTGCACCTCAACGCATCACTCTGCGTATCGTGTGTAACCATCTGCTGGGGTAACCGTAACACACTGTAAAATGTAACCGAAATTGCAAAGGTGTCAGGTGGCTTTTGGGAAAATCTTTGTAGGAAGAAACATGGAGGCTGCCACTGCTCACCTTCTGAAAATTCTAGTTGCTTGGCTGCTATACTGACCCCCTGACATCAGTCCTTTTGGAGTCACTGACCAGAAGCAAGTATGCACACCAGAAACTCCAGAGTAAGGTTCAAACAACTTGTCTGCATACTTGTTCTGAGTTTGTCTCTCAAACTAGTGAAGCCAAAAAGGTGACATAACAGCCAGAGGTTGTTACCTCGCGCTACCAGAAAATCATCAGCTATGGCAGCTTCCATGTCTCTCTCTAGAAAGGTTTTCTTTACCATAAGGCCCGGTTCACACCTGGGCGTTTTGTACCGCGTCCCTGCGCTCTGCAAAACGCTCAAACACCGAAATCCCATTATTTCCTATGGGTATGGTTCAGACCTGGGCGTATTACAGGCCGTATGAACGCGCTACAAAAACACCCTACGCCCAAAGAAGTACAGGAGCTTCTTTGGGGCGTATTTGCCACGCGTATCCATTGGGATACAGCCAGGTAGGTGTGAGAAACGCGGTTTTTTTACCGCAAATCGCGGCACGAAACGCGCGACAAACGTGCATATTCGATACGCCTAGGTGTGAACCCAGCCTAAGGCAGGGATGGCCAAACTCCGGCCCTCCAGCTGTGGTGACACTACAAATCCCATGAAGCTACCCCCCCGGGAGTCATGTCTGTGGCTGTGAGAATCTTGCAAAGCCTCATGGGATTTGTAGTTCCACCACAGCTGGAGGGCCGCAGTTTGGCCATCCCTGCCATAAGGTGTAACTTTCTCAAGATCTCTCTTGCCAAAGAGCTCCAAATTTTTCTATGCAAGCTCCCACTTCTTGAAAGCTTCATGCACACTGAAGGAATGGTGGAGCACCATACAGATTGGGCGTATTTCTCTGCCTGGGAGTGACAGGTGTGCCGTATATGTGAATCTGATATGCAGTCAGCCTGTAGAAATCAATGAAGGGCCGGCTGACGCGGGTATATACCCAAACCCACATGTATGCATGTCTACATGCATACCAGGGCTTATGCACTGGTATGAAATCAATGAAGGGCCGGCTGACGCGGGTATATACCCAAACCCACATGTATGCATGTCTACATGCATACCAGGGCTTATGCACTGCCTTGAAAGCAGAGGGTCAGAGTAGCGTGTAAATCCGGGTATTCATGTAAAAATGCACATATACCCGTACAGCTATGGCTCCAGCCAGCCTTTCATTGATTTGTACAGGCAGGCTGCATGCAGCTGTGCGGCAAACCTCTGACTCCTGAACAGAATAATACGCCCCACGTGTACGCTATACGGCCATTTGCAGCCTAGTGGATGAGGCCTAAGTCAAAACATACACAGGGCTTAGCAAGCTGTCATTCTTCCCCACGTGACATTGCTCAGGCCTTGGGAAAAGCCACTCAATTGTAGATGGCAGGGAAACTGTTCCATCTCTCAATCGTTATTGGGGCAGCTGTAAGGAGGCTTAGGCCTCATTCACACGGGCAGTAAAACCAGGCGGCTGATCTGCGGCTTTACCACCCCCGTGATCGCCTGTTGCATTGCGGCCAAACAGTGCTGTTTACATTGCTGCAGCCTCAGCGCTTTGCTTCAGTGTGCCAAAAAAAAATACAGCATTTGGCAGGTGGTGCCGCTTGTCAAATGTCATCATTGCAATGAATGGGACCAGGTACGGTGGCAAAGCATCAAACCTGGGCTGCCGCTTCTTCACTGCCCTCTGAAAAGCAATCCACCTTGCTGAGCATACTTTGCAACACCTGCATTGGTTTTGTTAGCATTCATTCCCAATATTTAGCCCCCCGTCAGATTTATTTTTGTTTCGTGTCCTGTCAGGGAAATGTACCTTCATTTCCCCTCCCAGAGACAAACCAGCTTTCTATGATGTAGGGGGTGACATTTTCCAAGTGACAAGAGCCCGGAGAATAGTGTATACTCTAAAAGTTGCAAGAAGGCACTGCAGCAGAGTACAGGATCATCTTAGACTATTGAACAGGGAACTCACCAGAAGGATAATGAAGTCACCCTTGCCTAGGCAACATGTACAAAAGCAAGTATGTTTTCTATCTTTTGCCCCCACCACAGGTAGTTTTTTTTAGGGTTATTGGGGATTTTTAGCACAGAAGAGAGGGTACAGGCTCCAATCGAAACATTAAATTCTCCCATTACTTTCAGTCCTGGTCATCAGGACAAAACAGAGAGAAGGCATCTCCCTCATGGGGACACACACAGCGATAAACCTGACAAACATTCTAAACTGCAGGTACACAAACTTTTTAAACAACGGGCAAGTTCATTTTCCTTCAGACCTCCGGGAGGCCCAGACAGTGTGCAGTGGGTGTAAAAAATGCACCTGCAGGTGGCAGCACTGGAACCGTAGTAGGTGTCAGTAGGGGAAGAAAGGATACAACTAAGCAAAGGTTGACAGGGGAGCACTGTTCTAACTCCACCAGCACAAGTTTTGACTTTCCATACACTTGAATCCCATATCTGTCATCCTATGGCATAGTCGTACAGCATCTAAGCACTTTCCATGCACCACAAGTGCTTCACTTCAATTAATGTAATCAGAACAGACGGAACAGCCATGGAATACCACATAGACACAGAACAATTTTTAATAACGGTCATTTCATTACAATAAAGTAAAGACACATAAAAGGCCCAACCAAATTCCAGGGTGAGCTCCTTACATCCAGGGACACATACACAGCCATGGACACATCCATACAAGTGTCTAGGCCAAGGTCAGCCAAGGAAGTTCATCTCGCAGACAAAGCTGAGCCCTGTTATAAAGCCCATGCCATTGGGGACAGTCTATTCCATTGACAACCATTGTGCAATGCTCACACGTCAGACGTGGCTGACCCCGGCTCCACAAGGAAGTGTCCCTCCTCCCGGCACACACAGGGTTACACACACACACACACAGTGCTGCCAGTAGCACCAGGACACCATTCCCCCTCGTTACCTTTATGCTGCTCACAGAGCTCACAGAGCTCCCCGAGTACATGTAATAGGCGATTCCCAGCAGCCACAGGAAGGCGAAACACAATAAGATCCGAGATTTCTTCCTCATTGCTCTTCAATAGCGCCAGGCAGAGAATACTGACAGAAGAGAGAGCCCTGCGCTGGCTGCTGGCTGACGACCGTCCTCCCTCCTCCTCCTCCTCCGCCGCCTCCGTGCAGCGTCAATCAATCCCACCCTCTACCTCTGGCTCTCCTTTTGGCACTGACTCGTTTGACTGCAACAAGGCCAGCAAGCAGGAAACAGCGAGCATCATCAGGTCATAGGGCAAAGGTTAAGCTTTGCCTGGTCAGCCAATCGGAGATCACGGAGGGGGTTGCCGGTAGGGAAGGGTGGGATTCCCGCCGTTGCCATAGTTACTGTACGCTCTTTCGGCTGAGCTTCCGCTGCGTTCTGACTTCTTTGGCTGCGGAACGGGAAAGCTCGGCAGTGGGGTTCCTGAGAGTTTTCTGGCGTTTGAGCTGATATGTTGTTATTGTGTCAGTACATAAAGGGATTCACTTCCAGAGCAAGATTTTATGGAGATATGATACATGAAACGTGTCATATAGAGACCATATATACTTATCATACAGATACCAAATATGACACTTATAGAAATTATATATGATACCCATCGTATAGATATGATATATACTGATACAGGGATAATATATGATACATATCTTCTAGTAAAGGTATATAATACTTATCATACAGATACCATATATGACACTTATAGATATGACATGTGCATATAAATATGATATATACTGATACAGAGACAACATATACTTATCATATAGAGACAATATATAGACAGGAAATATAATATTTATCAAATGGAGACAATATATGATACTGATACAGATATGATATGTGATACTTATCATATACTGTAGCTACAATTCATAATTATCATATAGAGAGGATATATTATACATATATAGATACAATATGTGATATTATCATATAGAGATGATATATAACATATATACTTGTCTCAAAGTATCACCCTAACCGTCCCCTCCGCACTTCCAAAGATCTTTTTTCCAGCTCCCTCGTCAACTTCTCCAATGCACACCTCCAGGACTTCTCAAGAATCTCTCCCATCCTCTGGAACCCTTTACCCCAATCTGTCCGTCTACCTCCCACTCTGACTGCCTTTAGGCGATCCCTAAAGACTAATCTCTTCAGGGAAGCCTATCCCACCTCAACCTAACCGCTCAACCATCGCATTCTCAAACAACTCTACCTCCTCATGTATCACTGGCCCCTCCCTTTTAGATTGTAAGCCCTCAGGGGCAGGGCCCTCCTTACCATCTTGTCTTGAATTGTATTGTGATTGTAATGTCTTCCTTATATTGTAAAGCGCTGCGCAAACGTTTGGTGCTATATAAATCCTGTATAATAATAATAATAATATAGAAACAATTTATGATACTTATACAGAGATGATATATAATACATATATAGATACAATATGTGATATTATCATAAACATTAGATATATGAAGCTTATCATATAGATACAATATATATAGATATGATACATATAGAGATATTATATATGATATATACAGTACAGAGATATGATATATGATAGCTCTGATATATGATACATATATAGATATGAGACATATAGATATGATATATGATACATATAGAGATATGATACATATACAGATGATATATGATACATACAGAGATATGATACATATATAGATATGATACATACAGAAATATGATATATGATACATATAGAGATGATATATGATACATATAGCGATATGATACATGCAGAGATATGATATATGATACATACAGAGATATGATACATACAGAGATATGATAGCTCTGATATATGATACATATATAGATATGATACATATATATGATACATATGATACATAGATATGATACATACAGAGATATGATATATGACACATATAGAGATATGATATATGATACATATAGAGATGATATATGATACATATAGAGATATGATATATGATAGATATCATATAGAGATGAACAATACTAAGAAATGGGACTTCTATGATGTAAACGTACTGTACCAGTACCACTGCTATCCGCTACTTCGGGGTCCCCCCGTTGTGCACTGTGGTTTTAAATGCCAACCACTGAATCACTACCGACTCCTGTAGTGACATAACACCCTGCATGAGAAACCACAGCACACAGCAGGAAGATGCACTTTGAAAACACCAGGAAGTAGCGGATAGCAGAAGCTCCTGGCAACAGCAAGAGAGCGAAGCATGGACTCACCAAAAGGGTAAGTATTAAACTTCTTCTCCTACAAGGGGCTGCTGGTTGATGTCTAGAGCTGTTTATTTGACTGGAAATGTCAGATGCATCCCACAGACTTTGTTTAGGGATATCTGGGAATGTGTCTGACATTTGCTTTCAAAGAAACTTCAAGCAAGCTGACCATTTTATAAGAGGCACTCCGAACCACACACCCAGGATTTGATCTTCTGATGAGCGATCCCCCTTATGGACCAGAGACGCAGCAGTCTTGGACCATAACCAGGTCCACAAACTACACACATACTGTTATGACCGATTTACCTTCTCCAAGGAGTACATCCCCCCAATTTCAGATTTACCTCAAAACCCATTCTTACTCCTACTGGTCAATTGCTACCAGATATGTATCAGGTTTTTATTTCTGTCTCTGTCCTGACTAGGGGAACGTCCTGATAACAGAACAAGAATGTAAAGGGTATCTATGGTCATCAACTAAAAATACAATCTCACTGGCCACTTTATTAGGTACACCATGCTTGTACCGGGTTTTTTTCCTGGTTTATGGGAGCCAGACTTACTAAAAAAAAAATTATTTATTTCCTCGTTCTCTAGTGGTATCCAAACCGCTAGCGCCATCCACCTGCATGGGTGCCTCCATCAGCTAGCCGACTGCTGTGAAGGCACACATACGTGCACGCTCACGGCCGTACCCGCACCTAGCTGTGTGCGTCTATAGACACACAGAGCATGCAGCCGTCCTCGGCCCCACCCTTGCAGTCACAGCCTATGGCTCCTCCGCCCTCAGTACCCTCCCCCGCAACCAGGAAGTTCGGGGAATCCCAAGTCTCCAGCTGCAGGTACGTGGGGGGGGGGGGGGTGTTAGGAAAGTTTGGGGTGTTTTTTTCCTATGGCCAGACATATGGTATAGTTCCACGGTGTGAATTTAGAAGGATTTTTTTCTCTTGGAGAAAGCACAGGAAAACCTTAAGGAAGGGGACTGGAAGTGCCTCCTACTTCAAAGAGAATGTAGGAGGAATTTTACAATTAGAACCAATTCCAATTCGACTGAATAATGCCCTTTTTTTAAGGAGGGTTTTTTTCTTTTTAACCACTGTACATTGTATTACTGTATTACATATATATATTGTTTACATTTTAGTATATAATAAATATTTTTCATTATTTGGAACATGGCACCTTAGTTTTCCGTTATTATTGTTTTATTTTATGCTATGTTGGATATACAAAGACCAGTATGTTATGTGTTTTCTTCATATCAGGATTGGTGAAAAAAAATCTTTATAACGCATCCTATGTTCTTGCCGTTCAAACAATATTTGATATTTTTTATGTTAAAAGATCTATTATTTGACTACAGGTCCCAGAAAATGTGTAATATTGTTCCTTTTTGGCTGTGGCACAAGCTATGACTGACCTGGTGAATTCCACACACAATGTTTACACTCAAAAGATGACATTGAGCGCTTTCAGATCCATTATGGGGCAAACACCCCCTTTTGCTTTGGGAGTAGAGACCCTAAAACCTTTCCTTTTCTGGGAAAATGAAAATGACTTCTTGAGAGAGGAGTTCTGCCAAAGCAGCATGAAGTCTTTGCCGAGAGATTGGCAGACTTTTTGAAGCGGGGTGGTAGTCGAATTAAATTCAAACTTCCCATGAAGTGTAGAGGCTGCAGGAAGGCAATTATTTTTATTCAGATAGACTCCATCCACCAATAAACAGATCAATATGGCACACCCAGAGAGCAGAACTTTCATATGTATAAGTAAATATGGCTGCTCCCTTGTACATATAAAAAAAAAACAAAGTATACAAACAAATAAGCTTTCTAAAAGATTATCACATGATGATTAGGGTTTTTATGATAGGCTGACCATCTTCAAATGTAGCTCCTTTGTAATGTAAGCCCTAACAACGATCTTATCTGCCTGTTAAATATGCCATTGAAAGTGTTTGATCATTTCTATACAATAATGGCAAAAATATACCTGGTGACCTACCTGTTGATCAGAAATTCAGAGCTGTCCTGTGCAGAGCCATAGTTAGCCCCTTTTGCGCCCAAAGCCCCGCACACATGCTGCGTAATGTGCCCCTGCCTTTTTTATTATTTTTTTATTAATGTTGGGGGCTTTGGGGAAATATCTGGGGGTCTAAACAGACACATGATATATCCCTTTTAAAATAGAAAAAGAAATTGAGGACACAAAGTCCTTAATCTCTTTTTCTGCAGACTCTGTTCTAAATTAATGCAAAGTATAGAGGCTTTTTATTCATTCAGAAAATATTTACTATCATCAGTTTCTGAATGGGTAAAAGCCTCTGTACTGAGTGCTACTCTCCATTGAGAAACTCATGAATGAACAGGAAGTACCTGCGCCCGAGGCGAGAGCCTCAGTCACCTCGACCTTGCTACGGCCCTGGTCCTGTGTTATCTCAAAGAGCCTAATTAGCACTTCCAGATCTTACCTTAAAACTACAGATTAATTAGCCATTAGGTTGTGTAGAAAAGACTTGGGGGTGGGTTTGAGTAGTTTAGTAAAAGACATCTTGAGGGCTGACAACACTTACACCAGGACTTACAGTAGAAGCTGAATGCATTTCTGGCACATAAGCTGGTATATTTCTGCACTTGCAGGGTCCTTAAAGGGAAAAAAAACAGAAAAATGTGCATGCATTGCAGAGATGTACTGCAACTCTTTTTGCCCTAACATACACTTTAAAATAATCAGTAGGTTTAGAGATATAGAACGCTGAAATTATTTACAAATCCCAATTTCTCAAAAAAAAAAATACAATTTGGCTCTGTACCCTTCTGCCTTTCTAGGTTCAGCTAAGGTTTCCCTAGTTATCAGAGGTCTCCAATAAGGAGCCTGTGAAATGTGAGGAGTAGGTCCAAGTTCCACATTCACAGGAAAAGAGGTTTTGAATTTAGCTGCACATATCTCTCTGTAGGTTGAACTCAACTCGATAGGTTGAACCCCATGGACTTGGTCTTTTTTCAACTTGACTATGTAACTATATACAGTGGCTTGCAAAAATATTCACCCCCTTGGCATTTATCCTATTTTGTTGCATTACCACCTGGAATTGAAATTTATTTTTTTTGGATTACATTTAATGGAAATACATAAAATAGTCCAACATGGTGAAGTGAAATCAAGAAAATAACATGTTTTAAAAAAAACAAAAACGGAAATGTGGTGTATGCATATGTATGCGTTCACCACCTTTGCCATGAAGCCCCTACATAAGATCTGGTGTAACCAATTACCTTCAGAAGTCACATAATTAGTTAAATAAAGACCACCTGTGTGCAATCTAAGTGTCACATGATCTCAGTATATATACACCTGTTCTGAAAGGCTCCAGAGTACGCCACTGAGCAAGGGGCACCACCAAGACCAAGGAGTTCTCTTAACAGGTCAGGGACAAAGTTGTGGAGAAGTACAGATCAAGGTTGGGTTATAAAAAATATCTGAAACTAAACCTCCCACGGAGTACCATTAAATTCATTGTTTAAAAAAATGGGGAGAATATGGCACCACAACAAACCTGCCTAGAGAGGGCCGCCCACCAAAACTCCCAGGCAAGGCAAGGAGGACATTAATGAGAGAGGCAACACCAAACATAACCCTGAGGGAGCTGCAAAGCTCCACAGCAGAGATTGGAGTATCTGTCCATAGGACAACTTTAAGCCGTACACTCCACAGAGCGGGCCTTCATGGAAGAGTGGCCAGGAAAAAAAAGCCATTGCTTACAGAAAAAAATAAGCAAACATGTGTGCTGTTGGCCAAAAGGCATGTGGGAGACTCCACACACATATGGAAGAAGGTACTCAGATCAGGTGAGACTAAAATTGAGCTTTTTAGCCTTCATGGAAAACGCTATGTCTGGCTCAAACCCAAGACCTCTCATCACCCCGAGAACACCATCCCCACAGTGAAGCATGGTGGTGGCAGCATCATGCTGTTGGGATGTTTTTCATCGACAGGCACTGACAAACTGGTCAGAATTAAAGGAATGATGGATGGTGCTAGATACAGGTAAATTCTTGAGTGAAACCAGTTTCAGTCTGCCAGAGATTTCAGACTGGTACGAACGTTCAGCAGGGCAATGACCCTAAGCATACTGCTAAAGCAGCACTCGAGTGGTTTAAGGTTTTCTTATAGAGATGTACCCCAAGAGACTTGCAGTTGTAATTTCTGCAAAAGGTGGCTCTACAAAGTTTTGACTTTGGGGGGTATTGAGAGAGTAAAATGTACCCTTCCCAATACTTAGAGCCAGCATGAGACACTGCAGAAGTCACACGCCGGCTCTATAGATCAAGAACCGCTGATCGCTCAGCTCACAGTCTTTTCCCTGCAAAGAGTAGTGACTGTCAGTCACCGCTCCCTGCAGGGATTCTACCCTCCCCTCTCTGTTCCTCCAGCGCTCATTGGAGGGACAGACGGGGAGGGGGTGGGCACAGCTGGCTTTGTCTCTAGAGAGGCAGAGCCACCTGTCAATCAAGCAGCGAGGTGGACCCAGACAATATTGTCGGGATCTGCAGCCAGGAACAATAGAATAACTACTTAGCTCAGATCTTAAGAAAACCAAAATGTTGCAGAGAGAAACAATCAGCTTTGCTGGGGACAAACCTTATTAACAACAATAAATGAGAATCTAATCATTTTATTTTTAATTTGTTCTAGTGTTATACCACCGTGGGCTAGCATGACTGATGCAGCTTGTGTTTTACAGTACGGTAATGTTTAAATAGCTGACTGCATAATGGAAAATGTCACACTTATAAAGCATATGCAAGCATTTGTGATTAAACATATCAATGGGCATGCAAGGCATGTTAGCCGTTCATCTTTGCATATTATATGTCCCTGAAAAATCTTTAATTTGAAAGTCACATAGTTTGAGGTTGCAGCTACATGCTCACAATTTTTGCTTGTCAGTGAAAATTTGATTTAATTACAGAAAGACAATGACATCAACTTTTTTTTTTAGTGGCTGACAGTTGATGTTTCCAGAGTGTTGGCAGCTCCTCCTTGATGTTCTTGTTCAGACATTTGACTTGCCTCTGCAATCTCAGCACATTCAAAAGTTTCATAAAATTTCTAGAAAAAAAAAAAGAGTCAGAGTTAGGCCGCTATTGATTTATTCCTTATTTCAATCATTCAGCAAACAGATACACTTTGCTTATTCATTAAAAGGGAAGTTACAAATGTTTCTGAGGCTGAATTTAGCAACTGCAGCACAGGAAATCCTCATTTTCTTACTCCTTTATATTAAAGGCTTTGTACACATGATCATTAGCTCCTCTAAGTGCAGTGTATATAGCAAGCTTCTACATAGCATTTGCAACGTTTTCAGCCAGTTATACCTGTTAAAAATCAATCAAGGCAACTGGACTTGGTGTATTTTTCTTAAAGGAGAACTATGGGATCAGTGTTTTTCCCCATAGTTCTCCTAAGGGTCACGGGAGGACATACACTAGCATCCTCCCGTAACCCAAAGCTCAGTATACCGTGAGCTACAGCTCGCGGTATACTGAGACCGTCGCAGCCGGGACGGATCCCGACATTACTGTCGAGATCCACCCAGCTGCGTGGTTGACAGATGGCTCTGCCTATCTAAAGGCAGAGACAGCTGTACCCGCCCCCTCCCCCGTCCGTTCCGCCAGTCAGCGCTGGAGAATCGGACAGGGGAGGGGGGGAATCCCAGCAGGGAGCCGTGAGTGACAGTTACGGCTCTCTGCAGGGACATGATCGATAAGTAAGCGAGCGACGGTATGTGTTCGCTCACTTCCCGATCTATTGAGCCGACGTGTGACAGTTTCATTGTCACACGTCGGCTCAAACTATGAGGATGAGTGATTTTCACTCACCTCATAGTTCTCCTTTAAAGATGTTTCACTGGTCATCCGACTACCTTTCTCAATTCAGAATAACTTGTACAAAAATTATCTGGGCATAAATATGGTGAATGTTGCTCCAATCAACATAATCTGTTAAACATAACCTGCATGGGGTCAGAGAGCATGGGGTCTCTGACCGAATGCTGGTTATGTTTAACAGATTACAGCTTGGGTTCTCTTTATTTTTACATAAATGGCCTCTTTCACACCTCTTTTGAACCAGTCCCCCTCCCTGTTTAGGATGTGTACTTGACTGTCTTCAAAGGAGTGACCTTTTTCCTTTAAGTGTAGGTTCAATTATGCAAATGCAATCAACACCTGGTTGCGACTAAAAGGTTATGTGGATTGGAGCAACATTCACCAGTAAAACATCTTCAAGAAAAAAATACAGCAAGTCCAGTTGCCTTGATTTATTTTTTACAGATATACCATGACCTGGATGAATGAGAACCTTTACAGACATTTCAGCCAGTTGTTACCAGCATTGATGCAGCCCTGTTAAAGCTTTAAAACCTTTAAAGTGTAACTCTAGCCAAAACCTTTTTTAGATTTGGATAAGGTAGGGGAGGGTTAAAAGCTGTGTTGAGGTTTTTTTTTATGCCCAAGAGATTGAAGAGATTTTGTCTCAAGTTCTGTCCCAACATTCTCACCTTGACAAAAAGTGAGAGGAAGCCTCCAGGACAAAGCCAGCAAAAAAAAAAGCTAATGGGTGTTCTAGCCTTTCCATATGCCATGAAAAATAAAAAACTAGAGTAGGGTCACAACTAGAGTAGCAATAAAAATGTACAGTACAAGCTTAGAAGGATCAACCGGAACTTGTACAGAACACTGAGCAGAATCTGTGCTTGCCACATGGCAATGTCAGTGGAACTGCAATACTGCTTACACTGAAGTAACCTATCTAGGCCAGCAGATGAGGGAAAAGGTAATAGAGTTGGTAATGTAGATGTAAGATTGATGGCTGACCATTAGGAGGTGGCTAGAAGCATGTAGTTCCTTATTTTTTAACCTAAAACATCAGATAGATGTTTACGTCCAATTCAGCTTCTGTTAATGTAATAAATTAAACTTTTTAGATGTAAGTAATACAGAGAAGATAATTTTCACATGTTAAAATCCCAGTAAGCAAATAATATTTACTGTATTGATTTGTTACTTTATTCACAAACTCATTCAGGATTGTAAAGCCAAAGTTTTTCCTTCATAAGCAATGTGCAGCAGAATTAATGCAGACTGCATATCCCATATTTTTGGGTTGTCAGAATATTTTTATATCGATCTGTCTGTCCCTCTTCTCATGTGGAAGTGTCTTTGTTAGCCTAGAGCTGTCACATGGGGGCAGGGAGAGTCCTCAGTTCTGTTTAAAATAAACCCGTGGCCATTAAACTATTTACATATTCTTAAAATGCAGTACATGAGCTTAAACGAGCTTTAAAATAAGCCTTGACCTCTGTGGCTACAGACACTATGGAGTAATTCATCCTCAAAGTTCCCAACAAAAGCACTGACATAGTTTGCAGCTCAGCCCACCCTGCTCTCCCTGCCAAAAATGGCTCAGCTCACCTTGTTCTCCCTCCCAGCAATGGCTCAGCTCACCCTGCATCCACCTCCCTGCAGTGACTCAGCAGCCGGCAATCCTTCTAATCTCTAATGTAAACACTGAGCAGGAGCTCTGGCAAAGAGGAACAGGGTAAGCTGAGCTGATGAGAAAACAACCGCAGTGTTTCTGCTGTGAAATTTTAGGATGAGTTGTTCCAGAGTGCTTGCAGCTACAGTGGTCAATGATATCTTGTTTTAAAACTCATTTACTCCTTGTTAAAAAAATCTAAATTCTTAAATGTCCATAGCCTGGCCACAGATTCCCTTTAAGCTCTGACTAGAGTGACTCAGATTTTACACGGGTCTTTGTTTTCTTGCTTCCAAACGGAGCAGCAGGGGAGTGAAAGAAAGCTGAGTATAACCTGTTAGGGAGATGCAAAACACAGTTTTGCTTTAAGCAAAAATAACTACATATAATGTAAAGGAGATCTATGAGGTGAGTAATTTCCACTCATCCTCATAGTTAGAGCCGACCTGTGACAAAGAAGCTGTCACAGGTCGGCTCTATTGATCGAGAAGTGAGCAGAAACATGCGGCTGATTCGTTCACTTCCCGATCGTCCCTGTCAGTCACCGCTCCCCACAGGGATTCTCCACTCTCCGATCCTCCAGTGCTGAGTGGAGGAACGAATGGGGAGGGGGCAGGCACAGCAGGCTCTGCCTCTAGATAGGCAGAGCTAGCTGTCACTCACGCAGCTGGGTGGATCACAAGAGTATTGTCAGGATCCGTCCGAGCTGCGGCGCTCTCAGTGTATCTTGGGCTATCCCGCGATATACTGAGCTTTGGGTCATCGGAGGAGGTTAGTATATGTCCTCCCGTGACACTAAAGAGAACTATGGGGAAAAATACTTACCCCGTAGTTATCTTTTAATTACTAACAAAATAATTTATAAAGTTACTTAAAAACTCCTAACTAACCTCTCTTTGATTTCCAGTTCTAGAAAGCGGACACACTACAATGTTTACACTACCAGAGGATAGTGTGTCTGCTGTATTGTCTCCATCAGCAGCTGACAGACCCGACAGAACGAGTGCACTAGAAAAGCCTTTCTTTCCGAACAAAAGGCTTAATGTAGAATTTGTGGATGATGTATGACCGGACTGGTCCTCTCTGGTCTGCTCATTTATATTTTTATTTGCATGAGGAAAAGGAGAGTGAGTGCAGTTTTGTACACAGTGTTGACTTGAAGATAGCCTTTTGGTAAGCTTGTAATCAGCTGTTGTATCACAGCAACCGTGACGTTTTTCCTTGTTTGCCCCGGAAAGCGCAGAAATCTGGTTTAAAGAAGAATGGGTGTGTGCCGATTTACTCTTCAATTTTCGTTTACCTGTGAAACAAAAAATATAAAGACAAAAAATAATGAACAGAACCAATATGCTTTTATCGGTAACACTGTAGTACATAGGAAGTGCATTGGTACTATGTTTTGCTAAGAATGTTTTCACTAAAATAAACTAATCAATATGAACAAGGGAAAGATCCGGCGGTTACCCTTTGCTGAACTCCTTCTGGAAAAGTCAATACTTTAAACCATGGAAGGGACAGGTTAGACTTTATTTTGGTAGCAGCTCATTTAAAGCCCAACTGGAATCTGCTAAATAAATTCTAAGTGCAGCAAAACAAAAGGTTTCCAAAATCTTACATGTCATTTTATTTGAAAAAAGCCATAATCTGAGTAGAAAAGCCTACCCCCTGTCAGCATGCTATAGAGAAGGACCCTTGCTCTCCGTGGGGAAGCATTGGTCTCTCTGTCGAGGTCCAACATGTCCTCTGCTGAATCAGACCTATTAGTCTGCAGTTAACAATACTAATGCTACTTGCTGATTGAAGAGCTCTAGTTCTCACATGGTAGAGAACATGTTGGGCCTCTCTAGAGAGAACAATGCTTCCACACAGAAAGATAGAGTTCATCCTTCTCTGTAGCATGCTGGCAGGGGACAGGCTTTTCTATTCAGGCTGTGGCTGCTTTCTAAAGAAAACCAACTCTAAGGTCTCGTTCACACCTAGGCGTATTGCATATGCGCGTCTGTCGCGCGACCGTCGCACGTTTTTTTACCGCGATTCCCGGTAAAAAAGTTGCGCGACAAACGCGCGTTTCCGAAGGCTACTTGGCTGTATCCCAATGGAAACGCGCAACAAAACGGCCCAAAGTAGTACATGTACCTTTTCAGGCGTGGGCCGTTTTGTAGCGCATTAGGGACGGGCGGAAATACGCCAAGGTGGGAACGAGACCATTGAATACAATGGGATTTATATTTTTGAGCGTTTTTGTAGAGCGTTCGTCGAGCGTAGAACGCGCTACAAAACATTCAGGTGTGAACGAGGGCTAAGACTTTACACACCTATTGTTTTGATGCACCTTAAATGTATTAAGCGGATTTAAGCTTAAAGTTCAGTTCAACTTTAAGGCTGGCTACTGGGGCTCACAGGAAATGAAAGTTACATTTTAGTTGTCACATCACTGCACTTCCCCTTTCCCTAAAGATAGGGTGCACTATGTAAACTTGACGTTAGGGTGCCCGGTGTAAGCTCTCCACACCGCCCCCCCCAAGCACTTGGTGCCTGAGCATCCACTCACAAAACACCAGAGCCGATATCTTGATGAAGGAATATGAGTCACAACACTACCCATATCTGGAATTACCATGTATATTTCTTCATTCCTATTGGCCAAGCAAAGCGACGGTGAGCAAAAGGGTGGTAAGTATGTGTAGCTAGGGAGGGAGGCAGTTAAAGGAGAATTATGACCTAATGCCAAATAAATATTCTCCTTTTATATCTCCAATTATTGCAGCCAGCCTTCAGCTTAATTTTTAAATTCTGAAGTCTGGTGTGGTCGTGCTTTCTCAAAGCGTGCATACCGGCGTATGGGGCCAGAACGTGCACGCTGATACGTGGGAGTGGAAGGCTGAGGCGCAATTGAGAAGATAAGCAGCGGCTCCTCATGGTACTAAGCACTGACTCATGCTGACTCGCTCTCCTCCCATTCTTCCCACACTCTCCCTGCTTTGTGTCCCTGTTTAATACGATGCCAGCGGCCGCCGACATCATAGCAACTACTATTCCGATGCTTGCCAGCTTGTTTCTCTTTGTAAACAAGCCATCAGGCATCACCAGTGACTTAATTTACCATCTATGGCCATGCCCATATGTGGTAAATGATCCTAGGCAGCATCTCCTGGCTGGTTTACTTTTATCAGCTGACCGCATAAAGACCTTGTTCTGTACTGTAGCGCTGATACAAAGAAAATAAGTCTGCCTATGAGCTGGGGACAAGCGGTGGCACTGCACAGCAGCTTGTGGCGAGAAGGTGGGACAGAGGATGGAGACGGGGAGGCAGGGAGAACATACACAGCACAGCAGCTTGCAGAGAGAAAGCGGGGATATGCAGCACAGCAGCTTGTGGAGGGAAGGCGGGGACGGGGAGGCGGGGACAGAGCTGCTGCACCTTCACATAAACAATCATGACAGCGCTGCAGCATAAAACATGCAGTGTCAATCATAGGGAAGAAAGACCAGTGGGAGGATCCTGACAATATTGTCAGGATCTCTCCTCAGTGCAGCATTTAGCCCCGCCCATTGTTTTATATTGGAAATAACAGGCTTACGGTGCATTTTGGATTATAAGAGTAAATGACAATATTTACTCCTTTATCATAACCAATCTAAACCTGCTTGTAATTTTTGGCTACATATAAGGTCACGTCACACTAAAAATAAAGACTCACCTATCGGTTGCAGACTTTTTATATCCAAGCATTTACCCTCTGGATTTTCATTACAAACATTCTGAGAGTTTCTTAAACTTTGACTTGTGTTGCTTTCCGAATAGCTGGTTACTGAGGATAAACTTCTCTCACGATCTGCCTCTTCAGCATTTCCTGCGTTGTCATTACTTCTGTCATTCCCTTTCCTCATGCTAGATAAAAAGTTGATAATAAGCTGAACTGTACAAACAGTTAAATGTTTTAACACAATGTATTTAAAAAGTGATATTTAAAACTGGACATACAGGGTGATGATGACCCCTATTAAGATTTATCAGTAGTTACTGTATGTGACCATTCCAAAAACTGGGTGTTCCATTTGGCCACAGTTAATGTGTATGTATAGCCATATTTATATGTTTTGGATTGAGTGGGAAAGCCTTAGACTCTCTGTTGGATTTTTATTCTTGTCATTGTCCTACCTGATGAGATGCACCTTCCTTATTTATCCTAGTAGCCATTGTCACCAAGAAATAAAGTGACGGGAAATCCAACATTTACAATTGTCTTCCAGTGGGGACATCTGTTTGGGTGACAACTTTCCAAGAGGGGAATTCCCATCACTTTGTAGAAATTTCCCTCACTTCTTGTTCAGTCTCTGTGACAGAAAATTAGGAGAAATCTCCCCAATAGGACATAGACAGCAAAAAATACACTGACAGGGGTTTAACCCATCCCCTACTCTATCTAAAACTAAAAAAAAAGGTTTGTGCTATAAATACACTTTAAGCTTCTGTGGGTAATGTATATTAAATTTTAAGTGCACTTTCATATAGTGGCTCACAAATTACCTCCTTCCAGCCTCCGCACTAATAATCCTCAGAAAACCCCATTCATTATCTTACAGTGACAATAAACTCAGGAGTTAAATCTTAAAAATACATTCAAGTACCCTAACTATTAACAAAAATGTATCTTATTTTTGTATCACTCGGCTGTAGATCCTCAAATCATCTCTGAATTGGTGCTGACACTGTCCTTCCTTCTGGAGGGTGGCTACTTTTGTTCCCCATGGTCCCTGTGTGTGTTGTAAAGCAGCCACCGCTCAAAGCTCACTCCTGTGATGCACTACAATCTCAATACAAATTACTAAACTAAACCTAAGATTGTAGTCCATCATAGGAGTGAGCACATATGTTGGCGGGATGATATTATTCTGTTAAGTGGTTCTTTTAATATAACCCAAATATCCCTTCTCCTAAGGAAGCTCTGCGGGGCAAAATGCGTAGAGAAATTCAGGAACACCACCCAGCATATTTCTATTACCTGTAAGACTACATTGGATGCAATTATTTGGTGTCTCTGAGAAATACTTTTTTGTGTCAGCAGTTGGGGGTGCGTCACTTTGGGGCATCCGGTTTGGGGGCTATATGTGTTGTTTGTATTGTACATTCTGTATGTATGTTATGGATTATGTACATTTTAGTATTTGTATAATATAATTTGTGATTTTATATTCTATACAGTAGACTATTGTCTTGCACCTTTCATCAAAACCCCTTTCAATTTTCTTTTTTTGCTGCGTGATATATGTTTTAAGGGGGTGGTGCGTTATAACTGAGTAAGGCTCCCATTAACAATTATTATTTAAAGAACTAAACCAAAAGAAATGTGGAAGTACCTTTCTTAGCTCCACCTTTACTATAGGAGCTAAAAGTAAATCCAAACTCCTAAGCTTGAGCTTTTCATAGCTATAGGCAGCAGTTATGGAGAGAAAGGGAACATTTTTGAACCTACGTCAGATTTGTATTGCCGCCTGTGCCATCATTGGGGAGATTACTCCTCACTTCCTATTCCAGAGACTTAACAAACAGGAAGTCTGAGGAAATATGCTCTGCAACAACTTTAACATTTTACATTTCCCTTCACTATCTATCTCTGATAATAGTTGTCAGGACAGGTAATGTGACTGAACCTTCCCAACATAGATACAGGCAATGTTAAAAAAACAACAAGAGTTTCTAACCCTTCCGAACACTGCCCAAAATTAGAAGAATGTTTTGACTGCAGTTCCACTTGAAAATCAACCTCACATCTAATATTCTGAAGATACTTTCCGTTACCTGTAAAGCTCTTAGTTCTAAAATAGCCTTGCAATTAGAAACGAGGGATATGCCACATTTTACTTTTGTGCGCGGATCTAATATTATTAACCTGGCAATGTTCTCATTCCATCTATTGAGTTTCATATGCTAAATATTTCAATTTCAAAAGCATTAATGAAATCCCTCCATGCCATTTGTAAGGTTATATAGAGGAGAAAGGACATTTGAGAAGAGAAGTGCAATTATTTTGCCCTTAGCAGTTTCGTTCATTGGTCCCACTTTCACATACTATTCAGTGAAATTGTATTTAATCATTTTAAAACTGTATTGCATTTAAATGTCATGGTGGAACAGAGAAAAGATTCATGCTCCTATGATAAAGACGCAAAAGGAAAGAAGGGTCTTATATACTGTATATGCCTATAAATTAGGACAAATGGTGCACTGAATCAGGCCTGAATAGAGGAATATATACAAATTCATTAAAGGAGAACTATGAGGTGAGTAAAAATCACTCATCCTCATAGTTCGAGCCGATGTGTGACAATTAAACTGTCACACGTCGGCTCAATAGATCGGGAAGTGAGCGAACACATACCGTCGCTCGCTCACTTCTCGATCATCTCCCTGCAGAGAGACGTGACTGTCACTCACGGCTCCCTGCAGGGATTCCCCCTCCCCCACTCCGATCCTCCAGCGTTGACTGACGGAATGGACAGGGGAGGGGGCGGGTGCAGCTGGCTCTGGATAGGCAGAGCTAGCTGTCAATCACGCCTGCTGGGTGGATCTCGACAGTAATGTCGGGATCCGTCCCGGCTGCGGCGGTCTCAGTATACTGCGAGATGTAGCTTGTGGTATACTGAGCTTTGGGTCGCGGGAGGACGCTAGTTTGTGTCCTCCTGTGACCCTTAGGAGAACTATAGGGAAAAACACTTACCCCATAGTTCTCCTTTAAGGGTCAAATATGACTCTAGAACTTGGCAAGTCACGCATTGATAAGTGATGTATTTCATGAATGTATTTATAGCAATAAAAGTTATTACAATTTTTTTAAACTTTTTTGTAAAATTTGGTTCTCTTAAAATTGGCACCTATAAAATCCCAATCAATGTGATTGGCAAATACTTATAATATTCATGGGGGATGTGGTGCATTGATTTTAAGGGTTGGTCATCAGTGTAAATTTAATTCACTTTTTATTAACACTAACAGGCATTTTTTATGCAGTGCAAAGCAACGAACAGTCGAACACAGCATACCCATCTGTGTGTTCCAGTGCACTACAATGCAGGCGTGTTGCAGCCCACTGTAGATGTGCATTAGGGTGCAATTATCTTTGTAATCTTACTGTGCGCTGTGGCAATGCACATTATAACATGGATTATGACATGGGGTATGGTTTGAACAAACCTAAGAGTGAAGCAAAATTGTATAAAATAGGCCTGAAGCCAAGCAACAATGTATGGTTTAGGAGAAAGAGAGGGCTAGCAAAGCATGGCTTAGCCAACAGTGGTAAGCTCAAACAGGAGCAACTAAAATCTATTGCATTTGATGGAGATTAAACTTTCTTGAACACACCTAGATATAAGGAAATTATGTTTGAATTACCCCCATAAAATGGTGGACAATTCTGACTCCTTTACAAGTAAGCTAATATTATAAATGAACCCGATATACACTCACTGGTGACTTTATTAGGTAAACGTGTTCAACTGCTCGTTAATAGCATTCGGCTATTCACTCACTGCTGTTCGGCATCTATAAGAATAGGCCAAACAGCAGTGAGTAGCCTGCCGGAGGTTCGGCTCAGCCGATCCAGATGTTGGATCGGCTGAGTCAAACTCCTTCTGCACTTCGGGTCGGCCGAACATGTTGAGCATGTTCGGCCAACCCGAAGCCACGTGAAGACACCCGATGTACGGCTGATTTCCGCCGATGTACGTCTGAAATCAGCCACTAATCTACTGGGATTTTCATACACAACCATCTGTAGGGTTTACAGAGAAAAAGAAAAAGAGAAAATATCAAGTGAGCGGCAGCTCTCTGGGCAAGAATACCTTGTTGATGTCAGAGGTCAGAGGAGAATGGGCAGACTGGTTCAAGCTAATAGAAAGGCAACAGTAACTCAAATAACCACTTGTCACAACCATGGAATGCAGAAGAGCATCTCTAAATATACCACACATTGAACCTTTAACCCTTTTGCTGCCAAGCCCTCCGGAACATTTTGCACCTCAGCTGGCCACGCCATTTTTGCAATCTTTCCCATTGATTTGATTTTCAACTGCTGCGTTGCTAGCGTCTGTAAAAGACCCCCCAAACCATATATTTTCTGAAAACACAGGCCTGGTAGAATAAAAAGATGGTGATACTAAATTTATAGGCCCTGCGATAATTGCGCAAATGTTTCTCAAATTAATATTAAACCGATAAAAATACACAATTCAATTGATAAAGCACTAAAATCAGTATCAGCGCACACAAAAAAATATTTTCTGACTAAATCTAAAAGATAAAACTGTATTGAGTTAATAAATAACAAATATTAGCAAATTTGAAATTGTACCTTTTTACGGAAAAGTAAAAAAATGAAGGTACGCAAAACTGTAAATAAGCCACTTATGTTTAAAATAGGTTTTGCGCTGGGTTGGTGTTTGTGTTGTGATAAAATGATACAGGCGTATATTTAATTACAACACATTGGGGTTGATTTACTAACCTTATAAACACATGCCACGAACAAGTATACACCTCTGTAGTGTGTTCCCTCCCAGCATGATCTATTGGTGGAATCTAGACACCTTTGTAGTGTGTACACACCCAGCAGGTGTGTTGTGCAAAGCCCTGCAAGAATTGCAAGGTGATGTTGTGTAAATTAGCTCTTTGTTGTGTTGCTTGCGTTGATGAATGCAGGAATGTAAATGCATGAGCTAACCATTTTTGTCTAAACTGTTAAGCAGCATTATATATGCATCATGTGCATGATTTTTCCATATATGGCATTAGTGAAAATATGCTTTCAGAGACTTGCATGCCGCTATCAGAGCGGTGTGTAGCCTATGGCGCATGCTACATGACGCGCACGTACGTAAATACATAAAAATGCGCCATAACTGCGTGAAAATGTGACACGTTGCTCGTGTTTGGTTGATAAATACGCTTTGCTGTGTAAAAATGCACACGCACCTGGTGCGTGCGTGTGTTTAGGTTAGTAAATCACCTCCAAGGTATCACAACGCATGGCAATGCGTCACAAAGCTTTGCCATGCGCTGCCACAGTTAATTAATGTTTTTTTTTCAAAGAAAAAAATAATTGCCAAATCATGCACTGCGATGCGTTCTAACAACGCACTGCAATGCATGTGCATGGCGTGCACCACAATATGGTGCACGTGTATGTTATGTGTGTGGGGGAGGGGAGTTGTGCTTTTTTTAATTAGGTTTTTTTGTTTTTGTTTTTACACATTTTTATTTATTTTTTAATTATTTATTTTTATTTTTTATAATGTTGGGGGGGCTTCGGGGCAATATTAGGGGTCTAAACAGACCCCTGACATTTCCCTTTTGAAATAGAAAAATAAATTGAGGACACAGAGTCATTTCTTTTTCTACAGCCTCAGCACTCAATGAATGGGAAACACTCAGTACAGAGGCTTCCCATTCATTCAAAAACTGTTGATAGTAAAATATTTACTATCACCAGTTTCTGAATGGAGAGGAGCCTCGGTAGTGAGTGCTTCTCCCCATTGAGAAAGTCATGAATGAGCAGGAAGTGATGTAAATCACATCCCGTTCATTCATAACTGGGGACACATAGTACTATGTGTCCCCAGTTATTTACAAACACTGAAGTGATGAGACGATCACTCCAGTGTTTGTGCTGCACACAGAGGATCGGTAAATATCAATGATATTTACCGATCCTCCGCTCAGCCTTGCACACAGCCCGTCATCCTGAAACTGATAGGATGACAGCGGCTCCTCTCTCCTCCCCTCCCACCGCTCTCTCATGCCACTCGATCATAGTGATCGAGCGGCTCGATCCTCTGCCGGAGATTTTTTTCGCATCCCAGCTGCCTCCGCCCCTACAAGCGGGGGAGAGCATGGGGATCCATGCGGACACAGATCCATGCCTGGAGTGGCTCCAGACAGGGATGAGAGGCTCCAGATGCCGGCGGCCAGCGGCAGCGGTGTCGGCGGGGGATATGCCTTACGGCGGTGGCAGGCAAAAGGTTAAGCAGATGGCCTACAGCAGCAGAAAACCACACCGTGTTCCATTCCTGTCAGCTAAGAACAGGAAACGGAGGCTACAATCGGGCAAGGGCTCACCAAAATTGGATGATAGAAGATTGACAAAATGTTGCCTGCTCTGATGAGCCTCGATTTCTGCTGCAACATTCCGAAGGTTGGATCGGAATTTGGCACAAACAACATGAAAGCATGGATCCATCCTGCCTTGTATCAACGGTTCAGGCTTGTGGTGGTGTAATAGTGTGGGGGATATTCTCTTGGCACACTTTGGTCCCCTTAGTACCAATTGAGCATCATTTAAATGCCACAGCCAACCTGAGTATTGTTACTGACCATGTCCATCCCTTTATGACTACAGTGTACCCATCTCCTGATGGCTACTTCCAGCAGGATAATACACCATGTCACAAAGCTAAAATCATCTTAAACTGGTTTCTTGAACATGAAAATAAGTTCACTGTACTCCAATTGCCTCCACAGTCACCAGATCTCAATCCAATAGAGTACCTTTGGCATGTGGTGGAATGGGAGATTCACATCATGGATGTGCAACTGAAAAATCTGCAGCAACTACATGTTGCTCTCATGGCAATATGGACCAAATTCTTTAAGGAATGTTTCCAGCACCTACTTGAATCTATTCCATGAAGGATTAAGACAGTTCTGAAGAGAAAAGGGGGTACATCCCGATACAAGCAAGGTGTATCTAATATAGTGGCCAGTGAGTGTATACGTCACACAAGGGAGCAAAATTATGAATACATGCACCAGGTTCCTAGGGATACACACACATTAAAGTGCTATTTCAGGCAACAAAAGAAAACAATAGGGTTGATTTACTAAAGGTAAACAGGCTGTTAACTTTGCTAGGGAATTTGCACTCTGCAGGGGAACTTTCCCATAGCTTGGTGAATCAGGTGAAATTTTACTTTGTATTTTTGCTTCCACATAATTGGATGATGGACATCAGCAGACCTTCACCTCATTCAATAAACTAAGAGGAAACATCCCCTGCCAAGAGAAAATTAATTTGAAATGTCAACAGCCTATTTGCCTTTAGTAATTCTAGCCCATTTAGTCACTGGAAATCAAGAATTGCTTTTGGCACATAAACTTAACTTGAAATGACAAAGAGAAAAGGAACCTATTTAGGAAGCTCTAAAGCAATATTAAGACATACTGTACACATTTTATAGCTGCTCGAAGTCTAACAAAAAATAGTATGCAGAAATGTATATTATGTATTACTTACACACGCCATTTTGTTTGAAACAATGTTGTAATATGGCCAACATCAACTGGTCCAGCCAGCAACGTATTGAGTTGCTCATGCATTCCTAGGTAAGAAATAGTTATAGGAGAAACGTATATTGGGTAACCCAAAGGCTGATCACAGGATGAGTTGATTAGATTTCTTAACACGTGCTTGTTATTCTGAATGCTGCCCCGTTCATGATCACGATTACGAAGGAAAATTAGTTCCTGTTGTTGTCCAGCCCAGAGCCCTCTAACACATTCCTTGTTAACCTGAAATGAAAATGTAATGATTAAGATTGTAAGCACAGAAAAATTACTAGTAATTAATGTTAATTAGCATTATGATTATGCAGTGTAAAAATATAATTACTACTGAGTCAGACCTATAGCTTTGCAATCAGTAAAGCTCATGCTCCCAGCTGATTAGAGGTCTCTGGCAGGGGTGGTGTTGGACTACCGCAAAGAGACTACTGGTTCCACACATTCAGCTCACTGGGTGGGGGTAAAAGGGTAAGGAAACTGTCTGAAAGTTACCTTTAAATACAAGTGATGTGGCATAAACATAATCCAGTTACATTTATCTCACTAGAAATTATTGATGTTCACACTGCCTTTCCAACATAGCACTGCAATCTTTGAGTCTCCACACATCTCAGGTTCATCAACATATCTGGGTCACCAACCCCACTTATGTCCAGATACAAACATTTCAAATTCAAACTTCTGGCAACAAACTATCCTTGGTTTACCTAATACTTGGTCATTAGACTCCAAAACTGTGCATCTCAAAAGTAATTAAAAAAAGACAATCTTATAATCTGCCAATTAGAGCTATGAAAAAAGATTAATTGAATTTAAAGTGACACTAAACTCAGGAGTTAAATCTTAAAAATCCATTCAAGTACCTTAAATATTAACAAAAATGTATCTTATTTGTGTATCACTCGGCTGTAGATTATCAAATCATCTATGATATGGGGTTACTTTTGTTCCCCATGGTCCCTGTGTGCAAAGTAAAATAGCCACCTCTCCAAGCTTGCTATCAAGATGGACTACAATCTCACATTAAGTTTATTAATCTGATTTGAGATTGTAGTCCATCACAAAAATGAGCTTGGAGCAGTGGCTACTTTACACCACACACAGGGACCATGGGGAACAAAAGTAGCCACCCTCCAGAAGGAAGGACAGTGTTGGAACTAATTCAGAGATGATTTGAGGATCTACAGCCGAGTGATACACAAATAAGCTACATTTTTGTTAATGGTAACGGTATTAGAATGCATTTTTAAGATTTAACTCCTGAGTTTAGTGACACTTTACTTGATATTTGCACAATGATATTCCAGGAGTTTATTGGTTTCATTTTAGGGTTCAGAAATAAAATGACACTAAAGTTATAGCTCTATTACAAAATACCTAACATTTAACTACAAATTAAATAAAGGATTTATTTTCTTATATTTTGCACTTATTTGTAAAATGTAAATAATAATGGTAAGAAACAAACAAACAGCAGTTAAATAACAGCTATTGGGAGAAGGGGGAGAATGAGTTAATTAGGCCTAAATAGGGTCATAAATAAGCAAATGTAACTCTCTCCCCCCAAAATTTATTTGTTCTTTTTTACTTTTCAGGTTGCTTTCGCACTATATTGAAACTCATCCCTCTGATCAGCAGATGCATGGAACAGAGTAAATAAAAAACTAACAGTGTTACTTTGTATCTCATTATACAGTATAAACACTGTGTCAGATGGTCCATTATTTGACAGCAGCAGCTGACTGCCATTATAACATTCAAGGAATTGCCAGCAAATGAAATGGGGGGTGGAATGGCATCAGGATAGAAGGACGGAGCATACTACACACTACTGTGTACTTTAAGTGAAGTTTTTTTGGTACTGTGTAGCAATCATTACAATGTGTGTGTGAATATATATATATATATATATATATATATACACACATACGCTGTTTAGAAGCAGCATTTTTTTTTTTAGATTTAGACACAAGCTCCATTACCATGCTTAAGAAGGGATTTTAATGTGTAATGAAAACCACAAAAGGCTAGGTTTTATTATTTCTTTTATGGACAAGCTTCCTAGGTTTTTGAATGCTGGAACTACTTTGTAATTTTTTTGGATGCACAATAAAGCTGGCTCCTGCCGGTTTAAGACCTAACTTGCTGTGCTGACTCTTACTACCTGTACAAAGCAACTCCACTTGAGCTTAATCCATACTGAAAAAAATGCCACTAGCATATGAGCAATCAAAGTGTGTAAACCAAGGAAACTGCTCTGAGCTTTAAAGTACATAATACCTTCCTAGAGGTAAATAATCCACAGAAATATAAGTTAAAGAATATTGTCAGATTATATTGAATATGTAAAAATGACAAGTCAAACATACAAACCGTGAGAAAACCAGTGAAATAGAATTCTTTTATTACCTTTATAACTTTAAAGCTGAGATAACTTTTTTGAAGCATAATAACACTGTAGTCATCATTCCCTTCATCAACAACATGCCTCAGTGTCAAAAGCTCTTCTTTGTTGGACAGTATTGCAGCCCTCCAAGCAGGATCCTTTTCATCACAAATGACAACCCTTTCTTCAAATATCCTAATTGCATCAAAAAGGCCAGGATGGTCTTCATATTCTTCAGGACAAGCAAACTGACTCTGTGAAAAATGCCCAAAATGTTCTTAGTAGAGTTTCCAACATCTTTTATTTCACACGTTTACTGTTCTATTGTATTACTGCATATCAGGGGCGTTTATAGGGTCTTTATCAGTGTGTCACAGTCAGTATAATAATCTCATTCATATTTTGGTGCCATAAATTGTAATCTCACAGTCTAATTTATGATGTAACAGTGCAGACTATGTGAAACTATTATGATGGCATTGTCAATATTATTCTGCCATGGTAGATGTTTTGATGCAACATGTTGTTCTTTAATATCAATGTTAGTATTGTCATACACAGTGGTGCAACTACCGCCACAGTGACCCATGGAGTTGCTATGGGTGGACGGGGCAGAAGGGGGCCCGGTCAGAAGGCCGGGGCCCAGCAGCGAAGGTGCGGCAGTGGTGGAGGAGACCGGGGTGCAGCAGCGCCAGTCCAGCGGCAGACATAAAGGAGGGCGGGGCCCAGCAGCAACGGTCCAGCATTGGAGGTGGAGAAGGCCGGGCCCCAGCAGCGCCGGTCCGGCAGCAGGGGTGGAGGAGGCAGGGGCCCAGCATCGGGTGGCTCGGGGCTGACAGGTAGGAAGAGTGCAGTGTGCAGGGAAAGGGACCCCGAACAGCCCACCATAGAGAGTCTCAGGAGGGCTGTGCAGTATCTATGGTGTGCTCTTCAGGGCCTCAGGTGGGCTGTGCGGGGTCTATGGTGGGCTGTGCAGGGTCCCAGGTGGGCTCTACAGGGTCTATGGTGGGCTCTGCAGGGTCACTCTCAGGTGGGCTGTGTGGGGTCCCAGGTGAGCTATGCAGGGTCTCTGGTATGTGCAGGGTCTCAAGTGAGTTCTGCAGTCTCAGGTGGACTGTGCGTGGTCTATGGTGGGCTGTGAAGGATCTCAGATGGGCTCTACGGGGTCTATGGTGTACTCTGTAGGGTCTCAGGTGGGCTTTGCAGGATCACTCTCAGGTGTGCAAGATCCCTGATACGTGCGGGGTCTCATGTGGGCTCTGCAGAGTCACTCCCAAGTGGGCTGTGTGGGGTTTCAGCTGGAGAGGTCTATAGTGGGCTCTGCAGGGTGTCAGGCGGGTTCTATGGTGGGCTCTGCAGGGTCTTTGGTATGTGTTGGGTCTCAGGTGGGCTGTGCGGGGTCTCAGGTGGGCTCTGCAGAGAGTCAGACGGGCTCTCCAGGGTCTCTGGTGGGCTGTGTGGGGTCTATGGTGAGCTCTGCAGCAATGAGCGGTGGAGTGATTTCTTCTTAGTCTCTGACATCAGAGCCAGCAGGAGCAGAGCTGAAGAGAAGGAGATGGTGTAGGCACGGGAACGTGTTGGTAGGTAGGCGGTTTGGGGGGCCCCATACAAAATTTTGCTATGGGACCCTGTGATTTGTAGTTACGCCCCAGGTCATACAGTAAGTAATTCTTGCGTCATAGTAAATATTATAATGTCACAGTCAAAATCGTGATGTCTACCTTATGCAAGAACTAAAAGTCGTTTGTCAGGGTACCGTGCACAGGTGTCCCCACACCGCATGCAGGTACCCACGCAGGCAGACCAAATTAGTGTGACCACACTGGAAGAGGGTATGCACACAGTTTATTGTTACATAGCAAACAGGAAACTACAAACCCCACCAAGACCCCCAAGCTAGCGCAAGCAGTGAAATGAAAAAAACTCAAATAGAACAAAAACACACCTACAGCCAGAAGGAACAGCAAACGGGAACAGGGTTAGGAACTGCAAGGCAGGTGTCAGGGTTCAGGACTGCAAGGCAGGTGTCAGGGTAAGGCTACCGGATACTGGGGCTCAGGATACAGGAACTGGTAACAAGGAAGGGTTCAGGGCTGCATACCGATGTGAGGCTCAGGACTGCAGATGGGGAACAGGTTCAGGACTGCAGACGGGGAACAGGTTTCAGGAAACAGGGTACGGGACTCAGTCAGGGGAAGGCGACAAAATACTGAGCCGACGTCCTGACAGCAGGGAGGGCCTATATACCCTCCCAGGAAGCACTAGGTGATGGGATGATCACTAGCAGCTGGGGCACACCCGCAGGTGAGTACTGGAGCTGCAGGTTCCAGCACCACCCAGTGTGGTCTGGTTCCTGACAGTTCCTGGCTGCTGGAGACACGCATAGGCGAGCACAGGAACTGCAGGACCTGACTCCAGCGCCACCTGGGGGTGCTCTGGATCCTGACAGTTGTCTACCTTATGCAAGAACTATGAGAGACCTCAGTGAATGTTGCCCGGGTGCTCCACCAGTAGAAGCTTTATAGTAGAGTGGCAAAAATTAAATGACTCTTAACTAAAACACAAATTATATCTGTTCTGCAAAGTGGCAGGAGGTATGTGGGAGATTCTGAAGTCAACTGGAACAGGCTCTATGATGAGTCCAAAAACAGGGTGTTTGCATTAACCACATATCCTTTTTTCCCGAGTTCATTGTGGGACACATGATTGGGTTATATTGCCACCCACAGAAGGATTCTGTTTTCTTTTATTTAATTTAGGGAAACAGGATTTAGTGACATTTGGTACATCCAAAAGCAGGTCAGCTGAAGGGTGGAAAACTCTGTAAACAAAACGCTAACAAGCCTAACTTTTTAACAAACTGGGGACTGCCTGCAGTTTAAGGAGCCACCTGAAGGACCTTATGCCCAAAGCTGGCATCAGAAGAGGCTTAAACATCTACCTAGAAAAATTTAGAGCATGTGTGAACAGAAGGTCAGGTGGCAGCCTTGCAAATTTGGAAAACAGCTATCTGATTTTTAAAAGCTCAAGAAAGCACACAGGGTAGAAAATGATCCTTATGACCATAAGTTTGAATGATGATTTGTCTGAGCCACTGAGAATTATTGGAATGAGAAGCTGGTTCCCCTTTACAGGGACCATCAGAGATAAGGAGTCGAGATTTCTCTAGCAAGATTCCTCCATTCCTCAGTCCTAGGGTGTGTAGAACTCCTCCCCAGCTGGCATCCATTGTGAATATCTTCCAAGAGATCAAAAGAAAGGATTTCCCCAACTACAGAGCTGGATTTCTGAGCCACCAGGCCAGAGATAACCTGGTCATTGGTGACAGATGAACTGGTTTGACAAGGGACTGAACTAGTGTGTCCCATGACAATGTAAACCTGACAAATGGGACTGCCTCAATTAAGGCTGCCATCAGCCCAACGACTCTAATGCAAAAGCAAAAATTCTGGCTTGAGCGGTGTCAAGGACTCAACCCAGATACTCCAATTGTCTGCAAAAGTTAACAAA